TTTTTCTTTAACAGCATGCAAGAGTTGTAAGATGGGATCTGTGTTCTGGCAGATAGACTGGTTGGCTCTGCCTGATTGTCACCAGCATGCATATAAATTGGTGTGGGTGGCTGAAGGGAGTATCTGCTGTTGGGATATTAGACAGCAGGGGTGGACTGACCATTTGGAAACTCGGGCACTGCCCAAGGGCCTGGGGTCAGTAGGGGGCCCCATGAGATACCCCTGGTACCTTTTTAATAGGCTTTTTTGAGTTTGGGCAAGGACACAGGGGCCCCATGATCCCCTATTGCCCAGGGGCCCCATGAGTTGTCAGTCCGCCCCTGTTAGACAGTCTTACACAATAGATCAGGAAAGTACGGTACAGGGGCTGAAAAACAGCTTAGGTTAGCAGGAGATTTTGGGTCAGCTTTACGTGAGTGCTTTTCATCAATTCTTCATCAGTCAGCAACTGACTTGTATTGGATCCAACTGTCATGCATTTTTCATCTACAAAAAAGGAAAAAAAGAAAAAATAACTTCCATGAGTGCAAACAAGCCCTTGACATCAGACGGGTGCTTATTGTCTGTTATCAATATTGGAGGAAGTTCATACACGTGCTTCCATAGAGCTATGGGAATACCAACCCATATGTGTTGTAATCAAGGCCAGGTCAAAAGATTAGGGTGGGGGCTACAACTGTTTTTTCTTCTTTAAAATTGAAACAAAGTAATGAAAAATCCATGGAATACCGTCTTCCAACATTTACTAGAATGCTGAACGTACACTAGGCAGCTATGTGGCGATTGAGGGCTTTCAGCCAAATTTTAACCACAGTCATTTCCTAGTTTCTAACAAAACCACAGATTTCTACCCCAATTTTTATTGTTCAAATGCTTGAAACCAGTGAATGACTGTGCCTGAATTGCCAAGCATATGTCCTAAAAAACAGATGAAGAATACCATAACTTCCTGTGTGCATTTAAAGATTGTCTCTTGAAATGACCTTGTAACCTGTATTTTAAATATTTAGGGGGTCCATTCCCTGCACTACTGTAACAAGCATTCACGCAGCTATCATGAATTCTCACCGTATTTTGCCTAAAACATTATTTTGATATGTCATCAGCTCCATCTAGTGGCCATGATGCTGTATTATTCCTGAAAAACCTCAATCAAGAATATACTGCATTAGGGCCACTAGATGGAGCTGATGATCATAAAAAAAATAACTGAATTAGATACAGTAAGAATTCGTGATAACCAAGCAAATGGTTGTGACAGTCTTACAGTGATTTTTTTTAATAAACATACCCCTTTATTATCATTTAGCATGTTAAACTGTGAAATCACCTTAAACTGATTAATCTTTTTTTGGGTCAAATGGGAGAGAGTGATCCTCTGTCACTGGTCTAGCAAAGTGTTCTCCCTGCAAACCCTTAGCTTTTAGACCTAACTATGGTTGTCATCAGCCTCAACAAAATTTTCATCTATTCCAGTAGAGGTTTACTACTGCAGCACTTCTGTGCTGGTACCCCAGAATGGATTCTCAACAGGAATTTACAAAGATTGCCTGTAGGACTATCACAGCGGTGACAAGCCCTAAAGAAGGGGTGGCAGAAGAATCATCACAAATTCTAGACAGCAGTAAAAACCTGCAGTAATGCAAAAGTCACTCCAAGAATTACATTTTAAAATTTGTAGAAACATATTGTCACAAAGCTTATACTGACATTGAAGGGCCATGCATGGTTATTGCATGGTTATTGCCTTAAAAAAAGTATCTCGACCCCCAAAATTCAGTGTAATCTTTGTGATGACACGTCATAACAATAAAATTGTCAAACGCAACTTCGAGTATTGGTGACTGCTGCTTTACTATTGGATAATGAACTGCGCCATTCCTTTAGTTTTTTTCAAGTACCCACATATTTACTGTTAGTTACAAACTAGGTCCCAAAATGGCGACATATGGATAGAATTGATCTTTATCCACTTTATCCAAAACACTTTCACCCCCCTTTCAGTCCAGGCCAATTTTCAGCTTTCAGCGCTGTCACACTTTAAATGACAATTACTCAGTCATGCACCCATATGACATTTTTATGAGACAGATACAGCTTTCTTTTGGTAGTATTTGATCACCACTGGGTTTATTTTTTCTATATAAATGAAAAAAGACTGAACATTTTGAGAAAAAAATGTTTTTGCTTAGTTTTTGTTATACAATTTTGCAAATAAATACTTTTTCTTCAGAAAATTTAGGCCAAAATGTATTGTGCTACATTTTTTGGGGTAAAAATAACTCAAACCAGTGTATTGTTTAGTCTGTGAAAGCTATAGAGTCTACAAACTATGGGATATATATTTGAAATTGGTCAGTCGAGACCCTAAAATGCTGGACATTGGTATGACGCATGGCAGTGATCAGGACGTTGGTTTGAGGTATGGCGGTGATCAGGATGTTAGCATGAGGTTTGGCAGTGATCAGGATGTTAGTATGGCGGTGATCAGGATGCTGGTATGGGGTATGGTGTAATCAAAATGCTGGTATGGTGGTGATCAGATTGCTGGTATGGAGTAATGTGGTGATCAGGATGCTGGTATGGAGTACAGCAGTGATCAGGACACTAGTATGGCATGTGGGGTGATCAGGATGCTGGTGTGGAGCATGGCGGTGATTTGGATGCTGGTATGGCGTATGGGGTGATCTGGATGCTGGTATGGCGGTGATCAGGATGCTGGTATGGGGTATGGCGGTGATCAGGATGCTGGTATGGGGTATGGCGTGATCAGGATGCTGGTATGGGGTATGACGGTGATCAGAGCGCTGGTATGGTGCATGGCGGTGATCAGAATGCTGGTAAGGTGCATGGCGGTGATCAGGGTGCTTGTATGGTGCATGGCGGTGATCAGGGTGCTTGTATGGGGTATGGCAGTAATCAGGACATTGGTATGGTGTATGCCATTGTTATTGTGAGCACTGGGACAGGTGACAGGGGCTGGCTGCACACTTTATTGTTCCTACACTGGGGCAGTGATCAGGAACACTGAGGTGGCTGGCACAGCAGTCTGTGAGTGTACATGCAGCCTAAAAGGCTGTTGTACCTTTACAGGCTGCTGTATCGGTTCTTTCTGCTCTCACAGTGAGATCAGATAGAACAGATCTTTAGTTTCAGTTTCTAGTGTTTACTATGTGATTGCTGTGATTGGACACAGTAATCACATGGTAAAACACCATGTGATCGCTTGGGCAAAGCAGTAATGTGATCCGTTGTGTCTGAGCAACAGACCGATCGCCAGGCTCCCGGTTGCGCACTCTGTGAGCCACGTAGGAGCTGCCGTTGCGGGTTGATGTATAGGTACTTTAGCCCTCATCGGCACAGCTTCCTGTTCGCCGTCTATAGACTATGGGCAGGTGGGAAGCCGTTAGGTTAAGTGCAGAAGCTAAAATTTTTAAAACGTTTTTTAAGTATAAGAAAAGGTAAGGAGCTGCAACAGGAAGTGAGGGGAAATCACCCCAAACTAGGGAAAATAAGTCAGTTGTCACCAGAACATTTGCCCCTTATTGGAAGATTTCCTGTCACTTGTTTCTCCCATGACAACTCTAAATTTTAGGATTTCCACATACTTTCTGTGTCAATGACAATTGCCACCAGGACCATAAAAAAGGGCAAATCATCCCAGCAGGGACACCGACACCAATAAAAAACCAAGAGTTTTGCCTTTCCATACACTTTAATGTTTCATTTCCAGTTATGGGTGCAGCACCTGTCGGCAATCAGGATTTTAATTCTGCTCATCTTTAATGAGTAAAAGCTCGTGTTTATCTTCTTGAAATCTATGTAGGATAAAACACCTCTTTGAATAAATCAGAATACCCAAGCTTGTAGAATCTATTCCACTCTAGTGTATTAAACATGGAACCTATTACACAGAACCATAATTAGAACATTATATCATTGTTATAACAGCGATGATAACCTGAAGCCATCAGAGGATACCGGGAATGACTTGATACTGTTATATGCTATTTACTGTACACTGTGTTTCTGCATGGTTAGAGACTCCCATTGTGTCATGAATGTCTCTAAGATTTTGGATCACTGTACCGAATTGGAATAAGATTGAGGTAAGTGTGTGGGGAAGTCTTTCTCAACCTCCCCCCGAGAGGAACTGAATATAAGTGTCTGATCCTATATGGAAGAAAAATATATCGGAAATATATTTTAAAAATAATCTTCCCAAATATATTGACATATATTTGAAAAGCTACAATTTTGGCCATATTCAATATATATACCGTATTTTTCGCTCCATAAGACGCACCTGACCATAAGACGCACCTAGGTTTTAGAGGCAGAAAACAGCAAAAAAAAAATTCTGAACTAATGGACTGCAGACATAGTACATGAGATGACCAGAGACTACGGACATAGTACAGGAGATGACCAGAGACTGCGGACATAGTAGAGGAGATGAACAGAGACTGCGGACACAGTACAGGAGATGACCAGAGACTGCAGACATAGTACATGAGATGACCAGAGACTGCAGACATAGTACAGGAGATCACCAGAGACTGCAGACATAGTACAGGAGATGACCAGAGACTGCGGACATAGTACAGGAGATGACCAGAGACTGCGGACATAGTACATGAGATGACCAGAGACTGCGGACACAGTACAGGAGATGACCAGAGACTGCGGACATAGTAGAGGAGATGAACAGAGACTGCGGATATAGTAGAGGAGGTGAACAGAGACTGCGGACAGTACAGGGATGACCAGAGACTGTGGACATAGTACAGGGAATGACCAGAGACTGCGGACATAGTACAGGAGATGACCAGAGACTGCGGACAGTACAGGAGATGACCAGAGACTGCGGACAGTACAGGAGATGACCAGAGACTGCGGACATAGTACAGGGAATGACCAGAGACTGCGGACATAGTACAGGAGATGACCAGAGACTGCGGACAGTTTAGGAGATGACCAGAGATTGCGGACATAGTACAGGAGATGACCAGAGACTGCGGACATAGTACAGGAGATGACCAAAGACTGCGGACATAGTACAGGAGATGACCAGAGACTGCGGACATAGTACAGGAGATGACGAGAGACTGCAGACATAGTGCAGGAGATGACCAGAGACTGCGGACACAGTACAGGAGATGACCAGAGACTGCAGACATAGTACAGGGAATGACCAGAGACTGCGGACACAGTACAGGGAATGACCAGAGACTGCGGACGTAGTACAGGAGATGACCAGAGACTGCAGACATAGTAGAGGAGATGACCAGAGACTGCGGACAGCACAGGAGATGACTGCAGACCTTTGGGGAGGAAGGGGGAGCGGGTACCTGAATTTGACAGGTACCCGCTCTTACTTCCGCGGAGTTGTTCTTTGATCTTACCTGTTCCTCTATCCAGCTGCGCGCTGTCTACCCGGCTTCTGTAGTGCGGGCTTCGGCGGACAGCCGGATGCCCAGTGCGCATGAGCGAGAAGTGCTGCGCTTTGTGATTGGTCCGGCGGCTTCTGGGACATGTCATGTGTCCCAGGTACCGCCTTACCATTCACAAAGAGCACCGCTTCTTGCGCATGCGCACTTGGGACCCGGCTGTCACGCACACTACAGAAGCCGGGAAGACAGCGCACTGCTGGATAGAGGAACAGGTAAGGTCCCACTGCAGAGCTGAGCGGCCGGTCCGGTATTCTGACATGGCGGCGGTGGAAATACCGGACCGGCCGCTCCATATTCGCTCCATAAGACGCACTGACATTTCCCCCCCTTTTTTTGGGGGAAAAAAGTGCGTCTTATGGAGCGAAAAAAATACGGTATATAGAATATATATATATATATACACACATATAAAAAAGTCATTTTAACATATATTTTTACATATATTTGTAAATGCATTCCAAAAATGTAGATTTGTATTTTTAAAGACATACAGTATATTTGAAATGTATTTTTAAAAATATTTTTCATATATTTTGTAATAAAAATGCATATCAACATGCAGTATATATATATATACAGTTGCAAGAAAAAAGTATGTGAACCCCTTGGGATTACTTGAAGTTTTGCATGAATTGGGCATAAAATGTGCTCTGAACGTCATCTAAGTCACAACATATAGAAAAACACAGTCTGTTGAACATAATACTACACAAACATTAGATGTTGCCATGGTTTAATTGCACATAACATGTAAACATTCACAGTGCAGGGAGGAAAAAGTATGTGAGGCCCTAGCTTAATGACTTCTCCGAGAGCTATTTGGAGCCAGGAGGGAGCCAACCTTGACTCCAATCAGTGTGATGATATTGGATGTGTTGCTGACAGCTGTCCTGCCCTTACAAAACACACACCTGTTTTGGGTTTACTTGTTTCAAGAAGCACTGTCTGATGTGAACCATGCCTCGCAGAAAAGAGCTCTCAGAAGACCTACGATCAAGAATTGTTGACTTGCATGAAGCTGGAAAGGGTTACAAAAGTATCTCCAAAAGCCTTGATGTTCATGTGTCCACGGTAAGACAGACTGTCTACAAATGGAGAAAGTTTAGCACTGTTGCTACTCTCCCTAGGCGCGGTCGTCCTGTAAAAATGACTGCAAGAGCACAGCGCAGAATGCTGCATGAGGTAAAGAAGAATCCCAGAGTGTCAGCTAAAGACCTACAGAAATCTCTGGCACATGCTAACATTTTTGTTGACACATCTACAATAAGGAAAACATTAAACAAGAATGGAGTACATGGGAGGACACCACGGAGGAAGCCATTGCTGTCTAAAAAGAATATTGCAGCACATTTGAAGTTTGCAAAAGAGCACCTGGATGTTCCACAGCACTACTGGCAAAAATATACTGTGGACAGATGAAACCAAGATTGAGTTGTTTGAGAAGAACACACAACACTATGGGTGGAGAAAAAAAGGCACAGCACACCAACATCAAAACCTCATCCCCACTGTAAAACATGGCGGAGGGAGCATCATGGATTGGGGCTGCTTTGCTGCCTCAGGACCTGGACGGATTGTTGTCATTGATGAGAAAATGAATTCCAGAGTTTATCAAGACATTTTGCAGGAAAACGTACGACCATCTGTCCTCCAACTGAAGCTCCGCAGAGGATGGGTGATGCAACAGGACAATGACCCAAAGCATACAAGTAATTCAACAAAACAATGGCTGCAACAGCACAGAATACGCCTTCTGGAGTGGCCCAGTCAGAGTCCTGACCTCAACCCGATTGAAATGCTGTGGCATGAACTTAAGAGAGCGATTCACACCAGACATCCCAAGGATATTGCTATACTGAAACAGTTTTGTGAAGAGGAGTGGTCCAAAATTACTCCAGATCGTTGTGCAGGTCTGATCTGCAACTACAGGAAACGTTTGGTTGAGGTTATTGTTGCCAAAGGAGGGTCAACCAATTATTAAGTCCAAAGGTTCACATACTTTTTCCTCCCTGCACTGTGAATGTTTACATGTTATGTGCAATTAAACCATGGCAACATCTAATGTTTGTGTAGTATTATGTTCAGCAGACTGTGTTCTTCTATTGTTGTGACTTAGATGACGTTCAGAGCACATTTTATGCCCAATTCATGCAAAACTCCACGTAATCCCAAGGGGTTCACATACTTTTTCTTGCAACTGTATATATTTATTGAAATATATTTTGAAATATATTGAATATGGCCAAAATTGTAGCATTTCAAATATATCAATATAATTGGAAAGAATATTTTAAAAATATATTTCAATATATATTTTTCTTCCATGTGGGGTTGTCCTAGAGAACCCTTACTAAAACCAAATCATTAGGGGTCAGTGAGAAAACTCCCCTTATATTGATGGCGGGTGTTTAGAATGCCACCCTCCCAGACAGTTAAAGATCAATGGTGTCTTGCTGCTGGCCTTGCCAAGTGGCGAAAACGATGAAAAACTATGCATCAAATAGGTCCCAACTCAAGGAACCCCTAACAAGCAGTGGAGGAACCATAGGGTTCCACTGGATCCTGGTTGGGAATGGATGGTGTGGGGTATGTACAGACTGGAACTCAGGGGTCCTCAATCAGTTCAAATATGGAGAGCAAAGTTTGGTAGATCTCTATAATGAGTGTGGGTAGCTATATGCATTGGCTCATTTAGATTACAGAGAGGCAAAGCTAACCCAAGTGCTGCATATTCCTATGGTGGCTCTCACAGCAGTTTATATTAAACAGTACAGGCATCCATGATGGTAGATTATCTGTTTGGCAGGTGACCATTACTACCAGCGCTATTGGTGACAAAGATATACCTGGTCCAGGGTCTGTAGGCCCACTTGGCAGCCTTAAAGTACAACTTAAGGCAACACTTTTTTTTAGTTTTGGATAGAGTGGAGAGGGATTAGAACACTTTTCAATTTTGTTTTGCCATCTTTGCCCCATTTAGGGAGATTCACCTCCTCTATTTGTTCTATTTACCATTATCATTGAAAGTGAAAGTAAAAGAAAACCCCAAATTTTGGGTTGTCCCCAGAAAAGTAATAGAGGGGAAATCTTCTAATGGGGACACTAGTTCTGGTGACCTGGGTGGTCCCCAAGGAATCCCTTTATTTCCAGGGATTTCCTCTCACTTCCTGTTTGGCTATGGCACAGGATATGAAGGGAAATCTGATGTAAGAGGGGGACTCTGATGGGGACCCTGATGAAATGGGGGACTGTGAAGTATGGAAAATTTGATGGGGATTGTGATGTAAGGGGGACTCTGATGGGAGGTCTTTTGCAAGGGGGGGCTCTGATATAAGGGAGACTTTGATGGGGATTCTAATGTAAAGGGGGACTCTGACAGACTCAAGTTTATTTGGAACTTCTTTTGCATTGTTATTGAAGTTTTTTTCTGTTTTTCTAAATTGTAACTGGTGATAAAAAAAAACCAAATAATTGTACTAGAATTTAGAAGAGTTTAAGAGTGTTTTCGGTGCATTAGCGTTTTATTAACATTTTTACAGTACACGAAGAAAAACAAAAAAGCCTGAACAAAAAACTGTTAGGAGCATTTTAGAAGGGTTTGGAAAATGATTTGGCATTGTTGGAAGATTGGTCAAAAAAGTGGAACAAAAAGTAAAAAAAAAAGTCAAAAAAGTGGAAATTGCTGTTCAATGTTTCTAAATGTAAAATAATGCACATAGGGAAAAAGAATCCCCTGAGAGAGTACAACATTTGGGGGTACAGTGTTGGCCAACACTACAGAGGAAAAAGACTTGGGGGAACTTATTTCAGATGATTGCAAAATGAGCAAAGAGTGTGGCCAGGCAGTGGGGAAAGCAAAAGGAATTCTAGGATGCATCACTAGAGGGGTCACCAGCAGGTGGAAGGAGGTCCTGACTCCCCTATATAGATCTTTAGTTAGATCTCATTAACAATACTGTGGACAGTTTTGGAGACCGGAAGATAGAACGACTCCAGAGATGGGTAACAAAAATGGTGAAAGGTCTGGTTGATAAAACATATCAAGAGCGACTTCAGGAACTTAACATGTACAGTCTGGAGGAAAGAAGGGAAAGAGGAGACATGATTGAAACCTTTAAATACATCAAGGGGGGTGAATAAGGTTCAGGAGGGCAGTATTTTCAACATGAAACCAGAATCAAGAACACGGGGACATGACGGAGGGACCTGCAGAGTGCCAAGGCTCCTGTTGTCTATAAACACCCACAAATTAGACCCTCCCTTTTTCCCCCGAAATGACCCGACGACAACATTTTATGTTGGAGTCGAATGGCCTTACCAGCCTTTTATTACAAAACCTTACAATACAATATTAAATGAAAACAAACTTAGTTCATAGAATACAGTCAATGTATGACCAATTTCAGATTTAATCCTACCAGGTCTAAGGCCTTTGATGGCCAATATAATCTCCGAAAACCAGCTGTATCTGCCACCCAATAAAAAGGCCCCCAGCTGCAATTACACCACCTCGGGGACAATTTAACCACTTACAATACTACCAGATACAACCTACTTAAAACCCTGATGTTATTGAAAAATATTAGGAGGGGACACCCATACCTAAGGTGGGCCCAACCCATAATTCTCCACAATTTTGAACCAGCACCACTTTCAAAGACCCAATAGACGCCATGACAGCTGCTATGACAAGTAAAATACGAAGAAACAAAATAGCCAACCACAACTGCAGAACCTAGAACCCACCAGAACATGCCTACACCGGAAAAAATGCAAGAAGGTCCCCCAACCGGAACCACAACCTGTCTGCTGTTGGCATGAGCTCCGACTGAGCTCCGACAAGAGCTCCCTCCCTTCTACACACTATAAGACATGCACTATGCCTCAACCCCTCCAATCCTTTAAGACCCATACAATACTGAAGAATCACCCCACTAATACTCTGCTTTTCCTGCATGCCCCAGTCATGTTGGCCCTTCTCTTAGCTTCACTCAGATCCAGGCCATTTACTTGACCTTAAACTAACTGGAGGAAAGTTCAAAACTGATCTCAG